CAATTCTAAATTATTCCTACGTGGCAGCTAGCAATTGGCTCGCTAGCCGTACAAAAGGTTAGAGCAGTTTCCGCCCAAGTTGGAGGACTCCACAACCATCTCGTGGGGAACTCTGAGCGCGCTGTGGAGCCTAGCAAACTCCACGTGTGTCTTGGAGGAGGACATAGAGGCCTGATCAGCTTTTAGCCACTCCCCGTCATAGTGGAAAATTTGACGTACCCCCGTGTGAAGCGCTCATGGAGTCATCAACGACTCATCTCGGTTCGGTTCGGAAGAGATCTCACTTGTGTTTGTTTGTGTGCAACTGCAACTCAAGCAAGTTTCCTTCCTGCACTGTGACCATCGGCAGTGTAAGTAAAGCTTTCTTTGTAAAACCAATACGCTTCCGTGCCTACCTCTACTCCGTCGTGGAAAAACCCCACCTGACGGTCCAGGCTACTGGCCATTGCCTCAGACCGCCCTCGGTCCTGACACTAAGCACCTAACCTGGGACTGTAGAGTCCACTTGTCCGCCAAAGACATTGATGGTACAATATTGAGCCAAGTCCTCTTTATGGATTTAGCCCTATGGCCCCTATTTCATAGAATCATAGAAAGTTAGGGTTGGAAGGGACCTCAGGAGGTCATCTAGTCCAATCCCTTGCTCAAAGTAGGACTATCCAACTAGATCATCCCAGACAAAGCTTTGTCTAGCTAGGTTTTGAAAACCTCCAAGGATGAAGCTTCCACAACCTCTCTGGGTAACCTGTTCCAGTGTTTTACTACCCTCCTAGTGAGCAAATTTTTCCTACTATCTAACATAAACTTTCCTTGCTGCAACTTGAGACTGTTGCTCCTTGTTCTGTCATCTGAACAGTCTAGCTCCATCCTCTTTCAAACCCCTCTTCAGGTAGTCGAAGGCTGCTATTAAGTCCCTTCTCAGTATCCTCTTCTCTAAACTAAATGAGCCCAGTTCCCTCAGTCTTTCCTTGTAAGTCATGTCCACCAGCCCCAAAACCATTTTTGCTGCCCTCTGCTGGACTCTCTCCAATTTGTCCACACCCTTTCTGTAGCAGGGGACCCAAAACTGAACACGTACTCCAGTCTCCCAGACTGTGGCCTCACCAGTGCTGAATGCAGGGGAATAATCATTTCCCTGGACCTACTGGCAACATACTTACCAATGCAGCCCAGTATGCCATTAGCCTTCTGGGCATGGACACACTGCTGGCTCATAGTCAGCTTATTATCCACTGTAACCCCCAGGTCCTTTTCCGCAGAGCTGCTGCTCAGCCAGTCAGCCTCCAGCCTGCACTGGTGCATGGGATTGTCCCCTTGTAAGTGCAAGACTTTCCATTTGTCCTTGTTGAACCTCATGCAATTCCTTTTGGTCTAATCTTCCAATTTGTCTAGGTCACTCTTAATCCTAGCTCTTCCCTTGTACATATTTATGTCAAGGGGGCAAACTTGCTCTTTGGAGTTTTAAAAGCCAGGCAAGCAAAGGAAACCTAACCCCTCTGGATGGTAGAGAGAGAGAGAGAGAGAGGGAGGGGGAGGGCTCATTTTAAAGGGCCCCAGAGCGCAGACTCCAGTCTCTTTTACTCACAGTCACAGCAGTGTCACAGTAGAGACAGTAAGTGCTAGGACTTGTCAAAGGGCCTCCAATCTCCCCCCACCCCCGCTCTCTCTTTCTCTTTCTCTCTCTCTCTCCTTTCATTCTTCCTAGGATATTCTCATTGATACCTTGGTGGACAGCTGTGGAACAGCATTTTGCTGAGGAGGGTAAGGGTGCTTCTAATGCTGCTGTTACTGGTCTTTTGGTGGCACTTGTTGGGGGAGGGGGTTTCTGTATCTAGTGAGTTTCACCATTCCCTCTGCACCTGGAATGTCCTTGAACATGAATTATTCTCGAGTGAAAACAAACATGACTTGTTCTATCAATGGGAAGGCAAATGGCTTACAAAATTAGCTGAGATTTGCAATACTTAAAAATAGTTTATTGACATGATGGGTAGTTTAATCTGTCTCTTTGCTTTTTCATTTCCTGAAATTTGACTTTTTGAGTACTCAAACAATTTTGCTCATTAATTTTTTGTTGGTAGCAAAGTACATGCTGAGGAAAACTTTGGAGAATGATTGTTTACATAACAAACAACTTTTAAAATGATTGCATCTATGATGTTCTTAATTGTTTTAATGGGAAAAAAGACTATAATATTTATGTCAAACTGTGTGTGTGTTAACATTTATTAAGTTAAATGGTCTCTGGAAATATTTAAAACCTCAGCTATGCCTTCCAAGATAATATTTTCTAGCCAACAAGGGTGTTTGTGAGTAGAATATCTGATGGTATCCAAAATTTATTGTCTTTTCAGGTATCTAACAATGAAATGCATATTGTATTTTCTATAGTTTTGATTTGTTCCAGGCATTTAAAACAACAAAGTACATCCAAAATGACAAATGCACCTTAAATTGAACCTGTCTTAAAATGGCAAGCTGCTGTGAGTGTTACTATTCCTGGAGCTGACTCTGATAGGTTTCAACAGATGCAGCTCCTGGAATGCAGCCGGGATGGGGAGGGAGCAGAGCAGCAGCTGACCCACCTCTTTGGCAAGGAGACATTCTGGGATCTCAACTCACTCTGGCATGCAATGACACTGACACTTTCCGCACACATGGCCGTCCCCTGCACTGTGAACAGGCTTCACCCAGTAGGATGGAAAAAAAATTTTCTTAAAGAGGCAATAACCATTCCTTTCTATAATTAAAATGCTGATTTATTATAAGCTGTGTGCTTTAGGCAAATTGTATGGGTAAGGTTTTAAAAGGAAATATTACTGGAGAAGCACACTTCCTAAATAGATCTATTAAATGACATAATTGCTTATTTTATCATTAAACAACCCTCCTCTATTTTGTATTTTTTGTTTGACCATGAGGATCAGAATGGTTGCTAATGATGAAATCATGTCAGAATCCAAGAAAATACTGTATTTCAGATATAGTGTTGAATTTGATTAGCTTTAGTGACTCCTTTCTCAGATGTAATAATCCAGGACCATGGCCTTCCTTTAAGGTACATTTGATTTTTTTTTTTTTTGGTACATGAAATAATTCCTTTGAAAGAACCAAAGGGCCTTCTACAATGAATTGAGTAGAAATTTTGTCCTTGGATTATTGTCAGTGTTTATATGTTTGATGTGATCAATTAATTTAACACTGTTATGTGAAAGTGATCTTCCTGTTCATGCACAGCTTCTTAAAAGTCTATATCAACTCACAAAAAAACCCTTTAAGAATAAAAGTGGGTTTTTCTCTGCAATGTCTTCAATAGTAACTGCTGAAAGTGAAAGCACAGTAACTTCAAATTACTGGTAATGTATATAGCAATGGAAAAGTTATGGAATTAAACTATTTGTAGAAGTGCATTTGTGAATATGATATGGGGAATTATATACCATAAGCCTTGCCTAACGTATCTAAGGTCAGAAGCCTGGAAACACTCTGGATCAGACATTTAATACAGAAAAATACATGTAAAACCATGCCTAAAGTGCAACTTTTTACATATTTTATTTGTGGAGACTGTTTTCAACTTATTGATCAAGTTTAGTCTTTGGTGTGTCATCACTGAAACGTTAAATACTTGAAACTGAAATATAGCTCTAAACTTTGTATTTTTTAGCAAGCTCTTGGCTGTGATATTACATTGCAGTCATGGCGCCTAAGAAGAAGAATGTCAAAAAGAACAAAGGAGATATCAATGAGATGACCATAATTGTGGAGGATGGCCCCCTAAGTAAACTAAATGGTTTGAATGGACTCTTAGATGGTGGGAATGGTTTCAGCTGCATTTCAACTGAGGTTTCTGATTCGTCTTATAGCCCAAATCTCTTGGACGGTCTAAGTAGAATGAGACAGGAAAATTTTCTTTGTGACTTGACCATTAGTACAAAAACCAAATCCTTCAATGTCCACAAGGTGGTGATGGCTTCATGCAGTGACTATTTTCACAACATCTTAAAGAAAGATCCATCCACTCAAAGAGTGGACCTCAATGATGTATCTCCACTAGGCTTAGCCACTGTTATCACCTATGCCTACACTGGAAAACTTACTCTTTCACTGTATACAATAGGTAGTATCATTTCCACAGCAATTTATCTTCAGATTCACACTCTTGTAAAGATGTGCTGTGATTTTTTGATACAAGAAATCAGTGTTGAGAACTGCATGTACATTGCCAATATTGCAGAGACATATGGACTAAAAAACACCAAAGAAGCAGCGCAGAAATTTATTAGAGACAACTTCATTGAATTTTCAGAAACAGATCAGTTCTTAAAACTTACTTTTGATCAGATCAATGAACTCCTTGCAGATGACGACTTGCAGTTGCCTTCTGAAATTCTTGCATTCCAGATTGCAATAAAATGGCTGGAATTTGACCAAAAAAGAGTAAAGTATGCTGCAGATCTCTTAAGCAACATTCGTTTTGGTACCATCTCTGCTCAAGACCTGGTCAATTACGTTCAAAATGTACCAAGAATGATGCAAGATGCTGACTGCCATAGACTTCTAGTGGATGCTATGAACTATCACTTGCTTCCATATCATCAAAATTCACTGCAATCTAGAAGAACAAGGATCCGTGGAGGTCTCCGAGTATTAGTCACTGTTGGGGGACGCCCAGCACTAACAGAAAAATCCCTTAGTAGAGACATCTTATACAGAGATCCTGAAAATGAATGGAAGAAGCTTACTGAAATGCCTGCTAAAAGTTTTAATCAGTGTGTGACTGTGATGGATGGATTTCTCTATGTAGCTGGTGGTGAAGACCAGAATGATGCCAGAAACCAAGCCAAGCATGCAGTCAGCAATTTTTGCAGGTAACAGACTATTTTTAAAGTGACAAATTCCACATAGAGCAGGAACACAATCCAAGCAAGGGTGCAAAGCATAGCACCAACAGATAAGATTTGTAGGAGGGAAGAAAAGGGATGTAATTTCGTGTTTAAGTTATTAGGTATTATAAATGTACAACCATAGTTATGTAAAATTCCCCATAATCAAAAAAATGCAAAATATAATAAGTCAAAGTCAGAAAATTTGTCTCATGCCAAAGTAAATGAATAATTTCTATAAAAAATATTAAAATGCAGGATTACTGCAAATGCAGGATTACTGTAAATAGTATTAAAGCTGTGACTAACCAAAAGAAGCAAGACTCTTCAAAGCTTAAGCCTAAAGACAGAGGTTTGGAAACAGAAATTGTTTCTTAAAAATCTATTTTGCTCCCTTCTGTGTAACAGACCCAAAATAATGCAAAGTTTCTGAAGAACTGTAGTTTCATTGGATTGTCCCCATAGAACTGCATGTATGGGAAAGGAAGTGAGCATAGCCTGAAGGCGGATCCTAACTGACCTTAATAGATAATTCTGCCTAAAAATAGCATTAAAACATGGAAATTGGAAAACTCACCTTTATGTCTAAAAAAATAATATAAGAGCATACTTTTGTGCCTCTTATCTGGAGTGGGTACAAAGCTGCTGCTCTTCTGCTGTTGGCTATAGCCCCCTGATGTTAAAGTCCTCCTAGACACCTCAGTAAGTATGTAAGGAAAAGTAATGAGGCAATGATTGCCTTTGGCTCTTCATTTTTCTACATATGCCAATTTGCAGAAGAACACATTGCATAAAAGAGATGGTTTCTCAGTTCTGTCTCCCCTTTCCTTGCAAAACGGAGCTCAGTCCTAGCTTTTTTATATTGCCAGCATGATGGAAGCCGAACAGCAGGATGGAATATCACTAAACAGCGATAGGAACCAGTGGGCACATCTACATGAGACATTTACTGCAGAGTTGACTAATTAGCTCACCAGTAAATGTCTTGGTGTCTACACATGTGGCCCTAGTAGGCTGTAGGAAACACATAAAACCAGCAGCAGGGTAGTACTTGTAAATACAAGTGCTATCTTCCTACAGAGATTTTTATTCTGCAGCACTGTGCATGTAGGTACTGACATGGCTGGCTGGGGCACAAAGATGCTTTAAGCTATGAACAGACGTTCAAAAAGCCTGAGCTGGAATTGATTCAATCTTTGCAGGTTAGTCTAACCTGCAAAGCTTGAACTGATTTGGAGGTGGATAGACATTCCCTTGTCATTCCAGAAATGCAGATACATGCCTGCAGTGGCTCAGGCTAGAAGCCAGGGGGCATTAGAGCAGCCCTCCCTCCCTTCCACAGTACTGAGTAGAAGGGAACGTGGCCGGGCTGGGGCAGGATGCTCTGATTTGCAGGGAATTGATAACAGTGTTTATCACCCCTAACTCAGTGTTTATCACCCCATTAAGAAAACAACAGAGGGTCATTACCAGCTACCTGTTGATTCTGCCTTTGTCACAGCACAGACTGGAGCCCGCAGGTGGCCTGCTAGCTAATACACAGATATTATATATACACAGATATACACAGCAGCGCAGAGGGTGGGGGGAATTCCTGCTTAGCAGAGAGTGTGAGGGGAAGAGGAGGGGAGCAGCCTGCAAGTCTCTGCCAGAACTGCATCCAGGGAGCAGAGGGGAGGGACCAGTTCTGCTGTGGAGCAGAGAGCCCTGCCCAACCCAGAGAGCATGTCAGGATGCTGGGGGAGTCTGGTTTGTCTTAAACCAAAAAGGGGTCTGGGACAGACATAGCATAAACTGGTTGGAGCCTAATTAGTTAAGTCTGATACTACATTCAACCAGGTTTATCTCAAACCGGTTTCAGTCATTTTCAAACTGGTTTATGTGCACTGAAAATCTGTTCTGTTACAGGTTTAAACCAGTTTCTGATCACTTAAACCAGTTTATGTGTAATGTCTGTCCCTAGCCTTAGTGCAAGGGCTGCCTGCTGGCTAGCCCCACATTAGAATACCCTCATTCCCCAACCAAGCCCTTTACAGCACGTTGACCCAGCTTGAAGCAGCCTGGGCCTGGCAGGCTGACCCCCCAAGCCCACTGCCAGCCTGGGCTGCTCTGACCCAGCTCAACGTGCTGCGGTCCCATATTCTATTCCAAGCTCAGTGACCTTGGGCAAGTTGTTTCATATCTGAGGGCTGCTTATATATTGTACAAAGTCTCTGAAAACAGTCAAGGCATTAATTATTCTGAACATTAATATTTTGAGTATTTTCCCTTCATTGGTATTCATTTAAAACAGGACTAAAGTAAATTAGAAGCTTTGGTTGCTTGCAGATGTTAAAAAAAATATGCGCTTTACCAGAGAAGCAGCACATTGCTTCAGCCCAGCTCTTCAGCCTCTGTATAGATTGGGTGCTTCAGCTGGGCCTTTTCACACTTTTATTTAATAGCAGATTCAATCAGCTATTAGGTAAAAGCTCCAGAAAGCCCTGCTGAAGTGTGCAAGCTATACAGATGCTGGGGAGCTAGGTAAAACTGACAGGGTTCCTCTTCCCATAAAGCGCCTGATTCCTCCTCTTTTGTTTGTCAGCATCCCAAATGTTTATTACCTGTGTCTACATTGTGCATTGTACTACTCCTTGTAGGGCCCAATTGACTCAAGCAATATTGGGCCCTTTGACAATTGAATCGGCTATTAGACAAAAGCTCAAAAAAAGCCCTGCTGAAGTGCGTGAGCTATATAGATCCTAAGGAGCCAGGTCAAACTGATGCAATTCCTCTTCTGGGCATGAGCTGTGCTCAGCACAAGGGCACAACACGGTGAACGTAAAGTGCTGTTTTGGGTGGAGTGGTTCCATGTCTGTAAGCACCCATAGTTGCATTATTAGTTGTAAAGGAGACATTCTCGTCGTGTAATGTATGTCATATTTTAACTATTGATTGTATAAATTTTACAATGTATTTTATAAGACATTTTATATAATCATAGAATATAATAAAATATAATATTTTATATAGAAATAGTTAAACTACTTTTACTGTAATCACTTTTAAAGATTATTTACTTTTAAAATGACAAATAAAAATTAAACAATCTGACTTCTAAAAGGAATTGGATAAATTTAAGGGCTAAATTTTGAGGGGAAAAAACTATTTTTGAATTTCAAAAACACATTTCTTAAGCATAAAAAACCCTATTTCTTTGAATGTAACAGTAATTACAACTTTTAGTTCAAGTAAATTCTAAAACTAGAAAATAAGAAGTAGCAAAAATGACTTCGCATGCCTACAACATCTGCTATGCAGAGGCAGATACAATGCAGTATTTTCCACAAAAAAATTTGAGTATTTTGATTGCATCAGTTACCCTCTTTTCTTAATGCTTGCAGATATGATCCTCGTTTCAACACATGGATTCACCTGGCAAATATGAATCAGAAGCGTACACATTTTAGCCTGAATGTATTCAATGGCCTCCTTTTTGCAGTGGGTGGTCGGAACTCTGATGGATGTTTATCCTCAGTTGAATGCTATGTGGCTGCAATTAATCAGTGGCAAATGAAGGCCTCATTAGAGGTAGCAAGGTGTTGCCATGCTAGTGCAGTAACAGATGGCAGGATCTTGGTTACAGGAGGTTATATAAATAATGCTTACTCCCGCTCTGTGTGTATGTATGATCCCAGCAATGATAGCTGGCAGGATAAGTCAAGCCTTAGCACTCCAAGAGGATGGCACTGCTCTGTGACCCTGGGGGAAAGGGTCTATGTCATGGGTGGGTCTCAACTGGGAGGTCGAGGTGAAAGGGTTGATGTCCTCCCTGTTGAGTGTTTCAACCCTTACACTGGGCAATGGAGCTATGCTGCTCCCCTTCAAACTGGAGTAAGTACTTCAGGTGCTTCAACCCTTAATGGGAAAATTTACTTGGTGGGGGGCTGGAATGAAATAGAAAAGAAATATAAGAAGTGCATTCAGTGCTACAATCCAGATCTTAATGAATGGACTGAAGAAGATGAATTGCCCGAAGCTACAGTAGGAGTATCCTGTTGTACCATTTCCATGCCCAGTAACAAAACAAGGGAGTCCAGGGCTAGCTCAGTATCTTCTGTGCCAGTCAGCATTTAAACATTGTAATTAGATATAAGCCACAATAAATTAAAATGTTTACCTACATGGGTGTGCAGTTAACCCTTTAAATAGCCTTTTGTGCCTACATGGAAAAATATATAATTGACATTATAATAATTTTAATGCTACAAAACAGCCCAGTTTTCATGATCTTTAAAATAGCTGGTGTCAAACGAACATAATTAAGATACAATGAATGTACTTAGTAGGAAGGGAGTGTTATGCCATGAGTGGAACAGTGACTAATTTATATTCCTAGCTGTGCCACTGACATGCTGCAGTACCTTTGGCCATCACTTAATTTATTTGCATCTAATTTTCTCTAGCTGTAAAATGGGGATGCAATTAGCTTCAAATGGTCCTTCTGAGGCTTATTCAAGTAACATTCAAAAGTGCTTTTAGATCCCTAAATAAAAGGCTCCGTGGAGCCAAATATTATTGCCAGTAAATCTCAATATATATTGGGAATGCACCGTGTCATCTTAAAAATTAGCCAGTTTTGTTTATTTTTATGAATTGTATATTTTGTGAAAGAGATTTTACAAAAAACTATTGAACATAGCAAATAGAAAATATATGCTCCCTTACCCCCCACCACTTCACAGCAGTGAAGTCATCAAACTTTTTCCTCTCAGAAGTTAGAAAATGTTTTCTATGATTTAGATTGCAACCATTTAATGTTCATAGGTAGGGCTATGGCAAGGATTTCAAGAGCGAAATTGCACTGTCTGTTATGGGCCAATCCTAAGGGCTCTGCCTCAGGGCATCTGACTCCTGCTTGCCCTATCTTCTGTCCAGATATCTATGAGCAAAAAGAAAAGGAGGAGAGTCCTCCTTCATTAGTTGCTCAATGGTATCCTTCCCAGTCTGCAGAGGTGATAGTCCAGCAGAGAGAGAAAGGGAAGATCACCCTAATCTCACAGCTGCTCCCTTCATAGAAACACACTCCTAGTTATTGTACCCCAAGAGTATCGTCTGTGCTCTGAAGCCTATCACCAATGTGCAGCAGTTTCCAAGCTTTTTCCAGTCAAGACCTGGATTACAGTCAGACAATTTCATGCTACCCCATACAATCTGTAACTGCTGCTTGTGTGTGCAAGACAGAGTGAAACCAATACAACTAACACAGAGATAATTGTTCTAGTTTTGCTTTCTTTTGACTGAAACAGTTGCAGTCACTGGAGTATTTATTGAGGCACAGGCCATATCTACATGAGATGCTGACTGAGCAGTTGTTACTGCATAATCATTTAGTACTGGCATAACCAAGTACTAAATGACTGCACAGTAACCGACATTACAGCACAGTAGCATCCCTGCATGGCTTTGTGGTGAAGTTGATTGCACACCAGCTCGTTACTACTGTGCAGCAGCATTGTGTCACGGTTCATGCCCCATGACACTACTGTGCACTAGTAACGAGCTACTGTGCAGTAAGAGTTTTGTGTAGACGTGGCCACAGTAAAACTTTGCCTTCTGTTAATTCAGGACACCTACACCTACAGAATAGTTGTAGGTTCAGAGTAAATAGTGGCTCATTACCATTCTTAGTCCTGTTTTGATTGCACTTGAGGTCATAACTCCTTGTTTGGGAATTGCTGTCATTTAGGGTTTCAGGAGAGGGAGCAACAGAGAACATTTGGAAGCAGCACTACTTGCTGGAGGCAAGAGGGACTACGGGTGCCAGGAGCAGAGCAATAGAAAACATTTTCTCTTCTCAATCCTTTTATCCTATAAGTTGCTATTTGACTGATAAGTAAGTAATGAGTAAATGCTGCAGAATTTTGCATAAAAGCATCGGTTGTGTGTACGTATGTGTGTGTGTGTATATATATATATGGGAAATAGTAAATCATATATGACAGCTCTGAAATATTAATATTGGTATTACTATATCAATATTATTAACAGTAAGATGTTCATACTTGTCTTGCCAGGCACACACACAATGTCATTAACACTAACTTCTTCCTGGCCTTACTAATGAGTATGTGGCCTTGATCACAGGCTTTTTATTATGTGACTTTCCCTTTTACCAGACTGATAAAATCCTTTTGCCCATGAAGTCAATGGGAGTTTTGCCATGGACTTCAATGGGATCAGGATGTTATCTTTAGTCCCTCAAATTATGCTTTATTTCAGCACTGTGCATGGGGAAGTAAATATGTAATGTCTGCTATTTCCATTGCCAGTGAGACGTGAACCTATTTTCCCGGGTAATCTCTAGAATTTACACCTTTATTATTAATAAAGATTTGCATACCATTCACTCTTGGGGCAAGAAGCACTAAAATTAACTAAAATGACTAGATAGATCCAAATTTGTAAAACTCACTCCTTTTAAAAGAGTTATTAAGCTTTTATGGGTAACTTTCTCAAAACACAATGAACCCCTCAAAGCTCAACATCCACTGAAAGGCCAAAAGAGTTACTGATCAACCAAATATACTTTACCCTGTTCACCAAAGAAAACTTTTAAAGCTATATGTAAATGCAGACACTTTTAGGAAAAGCATTTGCAGAACTCTTTTATTATGACTACCTTTTGGCAAGTAGAGTTACATATTAAGCATTGGCAATGATGATATAGTGTCCAAAATTAAACCAACTCAACTGGGATTATCTCAGTTTTACGTGTTCTTCTTTCCCATTAGTTCTAATCTATACAAAGATTGTTAGAATATTTTAAATGATTTTAAATCCCCAGATTCTATTCTGAATGCTGTATATTATTAGATTAGACTACACTAAAATGAATTTCGTCAAAAGCCTACTGTCAGTATTGGCTAATTTAATTTTAATGTCATTACGTTCACTCTTTATATTGTATAATTTAAATGAATAACAACTCAGATCCAGACCTATTTAATTCAACATAACATACTTTCGAGTAACTGAATAACATTTTCTCATTTTAATATAAAAATTCTGTGTTTCTCCACTTCAGTCAAGCAGGAACTTTCTCTAGGATTATTTGCATTTTTTTTCTTCTCAAAATCATGAACACACATTCCACATGAAAAATCTAAAAGGCCCTTTGAGAATTCTGTTTTCTTTGGTAATTTTGTATAAAGCTTACAATTATCCTTTTATTAAAGTAGCTATTATTTATCCATGCCAATGCATATAATATATATACACAAGCATTCATAGACTTATTCTAGATAAGTATAAAGGGTTTTTTTTAAAGCATCTATCACCCTAGTTGGTAAATATATTAAAATCACCCATAACTAATTTTTCTCAAAAGGTGCAGCTACACGAGACACTACTGAGCAGTTATTACTATGCATTTATTTAGTACTTATATTAGCAAGTACTAAATAAATGTGCAGTAACACCAGCACTGGTGAATGTCTTTTAGGTGACACTACTGTGCAGTAGTCTAATAATACTGTGCAGTAGTATATTAGCACTGTCCATGCTGTGACACACTACTTCAAAGTATTTTTCAGCTACTGTGTAGTCAGAGTCTTGTGTAGACATGCTGAACTTGTGCTTGGGAGAAAATTGTGCCATGTAAAACTTTCTCTTTTTTTTTTTTTATCAATTCCATAACTATATGAATAATAAAATGTAGTGAGTTGTTGCAAAGTTTCCTCTCTAATGAACGTATATTACATGTTGTGGAACAATTTTTTTATCATTGTCCCTATAGTATTTTTAATCCCCAAAATATTTAAATAGTAACAGCTTGGTTGGAACTGGAAACATTGTATGTTCTTGCAGCATGCGTTTAGGGTACCCCTGCACACTGAGCCAGAATTTGGCCCTTAACATATGAAAATGTAAAGCTGACTTTAATTTCATCTTGGCTTTGTTAAGTATCACATCCATGGATAAACAGTGATATGATTTCCCTTTTTATAGAAATTGATTTATGAATTATAGATTAAGTGCAATGGAACTACTCTGTATGACTTGAAGGGTTAAATTTTTGAGGCTAAATCCTGTTCATCTTATTAAGTTGGAATTCTGAATGAGGGAAATGGGATTTAGCACTTTGGGCCACATTCTGGCAAAGTAATACATGTTGATGCCTTCCAAAAATTATCTGTGCCCCAAAAAGAGAGAGAACCTTCTCAGTGTTTGGCCTATGAGCTCTCCACAAAATCCATTAAGTTGTGTTCTGTAGTATGGGTCAAGGGACATCATTCATCTGTCCCATGACACAGCCATTGCCCTTTTTATGATATCCTTCTATTGCATAAATTGTATGTACTTCAGGGCAAAATAAATAGTAGGTACCGGTACACGTTTAGGGCTTGCGATTACCCAAATATCTCAGTTTTGCTCTTGCAGCATGTATTTAGGGTGCAACTGCACACTGAGCCAGAATTTGGCCCTTAGGATATGGCTTTACTTTCATCTTGCTCCTGTTAGGTATCAATTACTTACATAATCATGACATTTTTGTTTAAAATACCCTTTTTCATTAGAACTGTGAAAGTCTGTACATTACACGTTGTGGAACAATTTTCTATCATTGTCCCAATAGTATTTTTAGTCCCAAAACATTTAATAGTACCAGCTTGGTTGGAACTGGAAACATTATATGTTCCAAAAAAGAATGTTCTGTGTAGTTTAGGAAGTGCAAGGGGAGGATAACAGTATTTTAAAAAATAATACAGGAATTCTTCCATCTGAGTAAGATACAGATTGCAAACTTATACAATATCAGATGGACTTGCTTTAGTATTGTAGTAATAAAAAATGTAATTAAAGTAACCAGATGAGCTTTAATGTTCTATGTACCGAGTCCACATTGCTAGTGTCCGCACTTCCAAAGAACTTAAAAATAATCTTCCTCCACACTCTGTAAATGGAGCCGTGTGATTAGCCTACAGATTTTGTTTGTTTTATGTTTGCACAGTTGTGTGAGAGGGTGCGCTATGGTATTGTATGAGAAGAACTTCCCATGGGAAAACTTGGCTAAGGAGAGAATTTGCATGTAGTTCTTATGATGAATAGGCCAGGGTTATTTTATCTCTTCCTGTACAGACCTGTCAAATGAAGTGCTGAGTATGGTCATGTCTGAGTCTAGTAGGTTGAGGTGCTGACTTCTAGCCAGCCAAAGAAGGGACTGATCTTCCTGACAGCTACAAGAACTTTAATAAGATATGATTTTAAATTAACAGTTGTCACTAGCAAAAGTAAATTAAGAATGAAAACTGCTGAATAGGGACTACCTTTAAGTCATATTGAAAACCATATTAATTGATATCCTGATCTTGCAGTCCTAACTCTGATTTCAGAGGGAATTTTCACCTTAGTAACAGCTGAAGTTTTGAGCCTCAAGGACCAAATTCAGCAATCACACAGATACCTATATGCATAGAATGGGACTGTTCATATAGGTAAGTAATGTAAATGCGCAGGTGTTTGCATATTCAAAGCCCAAAGGATGTGGGTACCTAAATGTACTATTTAGGCACCATTGCAGTCTATATTCATCTGTCCCCTGTGCTTGCAGTCTACATTCATCTGTCCCCTGTCCAAGAGCCACTCTAATTAAAGTGCCTTCAGTGTCTTGTGTATCAGCATCCCTGTGCTTCAAAATGGTGGCGGGGGTGCTTTAACTAAAGCTTGTCGAACTAGCTTTAGTTAAAGCGCTTCCACTGCCATTTGGAAGTGCAGGGACACTAGTACATGAAACATGGAGACTGCTGGAGCACACTAATTAGCATGCTCCCACAGACTCAGTTAATCAAGTGTGCTCCAACACACTGTAATTACAGGCCCCTAAAGTCCCTATAGGCCAGATCCACATAGGACAAATTTATAGCATCTGCAGCCTAGTGGAATCTTTTGCCTACATACATACATTATGAAGGCTCCTTATACAATGTGCAGAAGGCAGGGCAGGGTTGCATCCATGCAACATGCAGGGAGAGCTGACTTCCTAAGGATGGAATTCAGAGGAACCAGCAAGTTAGTAGGAAAGCCACCCTGGCTAGTTAGGCACCATCCCTCACAAGTTAGGAGCCTCAGCTCAGGTTGCTATACAGTGCCTATCTCCATTCAAGATGTTCAGCTATGAATCCTCCCCTTGAGTTAGATGCCTAAGCCATGTCAGCCTTCCTTTTGAAAGATCAGACAGAGAGACCATAGAACCAATTAGTATAGGTGTTAGAGCCCCTGCCTGTGAGATGGAAGATCTGCTTTCAGTTCTGCCTATACTTTCCACAAAGAAGCAGGGCACCTAAGAGTTAGGTATTACAATACATAGGTTCCTTTGTGGATCTAGTTCCATGTGACTAATTGCATTGATTCTGGTAATAGAGAAGAGTATCTAATCCTGAAAGAGAAAAAGGGTTGTAATGGCTGTTGGAAGAAGACGGTAATGAATGAAGCTAAAAGACTGGGGACAAATCAGTGGCGCTCAGTTAGATGGGTGGCACTATCTACAGTGCAGTTTTAAGAAGATCCCAAGGATAGACAAGAAATGTATGGTGTGCCAGAAAACTTGGGTGAAAGAGTCTCACAATACATATGATGAGGTTGCAATGCAAAAAACTAGTATACTAGTAATTCTAACTGATAACACCTAGTAGCAGTAACTAGTTGTTATCATTTAGAATTAAAGTTACATTAAAAAGCAGTTCATTCACTAATGAGCAATTGATAAGGCACAGGTTTATGAGGAAGATATAGTGGTATAATTCTACTAAGGAGAATGGGAACATGCATCTTACAATACAAATTAAAATACTTATTGCCTTGGCTAATGGCAGAATTAAAAAGCTAAGTGTTTTATTTGTGCTTAATATTTTCCCATTTGATAATTGTTATATCTAGTGATTCAAAAAAAGATGTATTAAATACAGACACTTTCAGGATGGGATGCAATAACAAGGGAACATTCATTTAAGTAAAAGTAAAATTGAATGCAAGAATTGTATTACTAAAAAAACCAAACAATTGATACTGTGGCAGATATTAATAGAATATATGTAGAGTAGCATGGTAATCATATTTTTAATTGTTTACTTTACTGAAAACAGTTTACCCACAGAACAAACGTAATTCATTCTTACTCAAAAGTCCATTTCAAATACTGGGAAATCCTTATGTTTCTGTCTGGTACATTTGTGGTTCAAATGTTCTTTGTTTTTAGGGCCCTTGTAAATTCTTAACTTCATATAAAGTTACTAGAACATTTGTTCAACTTTAATGGTAAATTCAATTCAACATTAAGTGATATTGCATGCCTATAGGGGCCAATCATTTCTTCTCTAGCAGAGTTATTTGCCAGATTTGTTTAAGAAGCATGCAATCTCCAGTAATTGATAACAAAATGTAAAAATAAAATAACAAAATTCAAAATGCCTAACAATGAACATGATAAAAGTTATCTGATTTTAAATTTCACATCTTAATTTCAATGTATTAACAATATTAGCAATTTATTAAATATCCAAATTTCAGAACAGTAAAAGACAGAAAATCAAGTTAGTTTTGCCAGTTGTTATTATTTTTACAGTACCAAAAAGTGTACTTAATAATCTTTCATACCAAAAGGTCTTCTAGAGGATTTTCTCCCTGGCTATGCCATAGCAAGCTGCTCAATTTAACTTATAGTGCCAATGGTATTTTTCTTCTAGTGGTTTGAGAAAAAAGTTGTATTTTTAATTAAAAACAAACATTGATAAAAGTATCAAGATCCCAGCAAGGTATTTAGGATATGCATAATCTTAACACATACTGGAGTTATGTTTTAAAAATTAACCTACCTATGAAATGTGAATGCTAAAAGTTAAATTATTCATTCTGGATGTGCAAAAGAAAGAGAGAGAGAGAGAGAAAGAGAGAATTAAAAACACCCCTGCTAAAATAAAAATGTCCATTGACTTGGCTGCTGCAAACTCTACTCTGATCCATTTGTTTTCTACTCTACTGTAATTGAAATGTTATAATTCACCCGTTGGACTGTAAAATCACAGGTCTGTTTCAGTACCAAAAGCTGGAAAAAGTATTGAGTGAGGTATTTTATTCTATAGAAATATCGCTGTCTAGAAGACTGTGGATGATAGGAATTAATTTAAATCTAATTTATTGAAAAAGAAATAGAATATTACAAGATCATTTGTAACTGAAGCTTTAAAATTTAGAAGAGAAAAATCAAGGTTTAGTAGAATTTCTAACATAGATAGTTTTGTAAATACAGGTAAAAGTGTAAATAAGTATTTATTTCCTGAGAAAGGTAGGCAAAGTCAAAGCTTTTCTATAAATCAGCCAAAATTATTTTTAGACTTCTAACTGAATATTAGATAGAAAGTTTTAAAAAAGATGTGTGATAAATATGTACACAAATACACAGAGAAATACTTGGCATATCTTTTTTAAAATGTACCTGTATACACTGAATAAGACACAGAATACCATGTGTACACCTTGCAGGTCTCAGCAAATAAGCATCTGAACATACTGTACGAGAAGGGAAACTGCATAAAACTTACCCATTTTCATTATATATTTCAAAGTAATAGATGTCCATAATCAGTAGTTCTTTACTCAAGAGAAGTCAGTACTAAAGTAATGTGGATAATTGATCGAGTATATACAAAGAAAATTTACCAAATATCATATTCTCCAGGTTGACCCTGGTTGCTCTTATAAAAGTATATGCAAAAAGATATGCTGTCTAAAGTTGTGTCTAATATATGTATTAAAGGTTTGCTCACTATCACAGAATCTAACTGTTCACAATATATTTTCTACCACATTAATTACATACATTTTTGTAAAGATTATTCCAAGGAAATATTTTCCTTGTGCTTTTTGATGATCTTGGCATCCTATTTCAGTGATCTATGGAATATGGCTCATGTGTCGTCTTGTTTAAACTCTGCATTATCATTAACGCTGAATCCAATAACAAGTGAAATGAAAACACTGGTCCAATTTGGAAATTTTTCTTTCACATGATCTTCTGTTGACGTGTATGTTCCAATCTGCATGTTCTGTCTGTTGTTGATTTCGTTTATACTTAAAAATGTGGGGTAAAAAAAAGAAAGCCAAGAAGACTGAACTACTTGGATAACTTCTACGAACAAGTGAAAACAAGCTGATACAAATGAACCTATTATCCAGAAAGTCTGTCAAATGTGAAATAAGGAAGTAGGTTATAATTAATAAATTAAATGTATAACATTATACATCTTTTTTCCCAAATAGTAATCAAAATCTCAAAAAAGCACTAAATATGATCATCGTATTTGGGGAGATAAACATTGAAATCATAACACTTGACTCTGGCCTAGGCTGTGAGCAGCAGAAATCAATCACCTAATATCTGCTTGGCAGCCAATCACATGAGAAATGAAATGGTATGCTCAGTTCCTAATGAACAAATGACTACAACACAAAAACAATTTATTTTTTAATCACCCCTTTGTGGTTTGCAATATCACTATGAAACTGAACAGGCATTCTGGACTACTCTTCCTGTCCCAGAGTTAAGGTGCACTGGTAAAGCTCAGTATCACTGTGTGAAGGGGTGGCTGGGTCCCTTGGTCTCCCTCTGAACTTGCCTGCCATGACTTTGATTGAAAGAAAGAAGATGTTTAGTGTTATCCTTAAGGGTGAGGAAACACCACAGACCACCCAGGTGATGAACTTACGTAGTGCAGATTTTATTCTCAGCAGAAGGTTACAAAGTTCTATTCATCTCGCTAATTACCTCATTAGCGAGGGAAACCAATGTCACTGATAACACAGCTCTGGAAGCCTGAGAGTGCCCCGGATGTGTTAAGCTATTTTCAGACCAGGCTGGGTCTTCCCCACTAATTTACTCATTAGGGGGGCACATTCCCCACACCTCTGCGGGTCTCGAGCTGGGAACTGTCCCTGTTGCTCCCTCCCTGCATATTGGTAGAGCTCTCTCAGTAGCACGGGTAGCTCTGTGCCGCTTTTGCTGCCCATATGCCACCCTGGAGCCCTCTACCTAGGAGTTCTCCTGGGTGCGGTGATCTCCTGGATCCCCAGTTCTTCTCTGGGTCCACCGTATTGGCTGCAGGACTTGGGTGAGTACCTCACCTTACCAGTCAGCCATGGTGTCTCAGGGTCGGCAGTCTTGGACTCTCCCAGGTTATCGATCGGGCATCCTTCTCTCTCTCTTCTTTTCATCTCCTACAGTCCTTCCTTCTCTCTCCAGGTTCTGAAGGCAAAATGTGCTCACCCACTGCCCGGCTTATACCAGCCATGGTGGGCTAATTACCCTAACCTTCCCCCACTGTGTGATTCTCCTCACCTGGGCAAGGTCCTCTCTACAGCTACCTGCTCCCGTGACTACCCTAGTAATGGGGGCTCCTGCCTAAGCCCCTGTTACACACTGCCCCAAGTTATTCTTGAGAGGATGGATTTAAATTGTTGCCCTTCTCAGGCTTGTATATTTCATGCAAGCTATAAATGCACTCCAAAGTATGATAGTGTTTTGATTTACTTGGGAATCACTGAGTTAGTGAACATAAAGTTCATGCAGTGAAGAAGCCTAATGCAGGACCTGCAGTTTTTCCTAGTAAAGTTAATGGGAGCTCTACCTTGGTTTCCACAGAAACAGGAGAAAGTTAATGGAAACTGAGAGCAGGATTTTGACAGGGTGAAATGG